GGTAAACAGCCTAAATGCAGCAGCCGAATAAACGAGTTGATTCACTTTATCAATGATCACATCTTTTTTTATTATCTCCCTCTATAGATACAGCTTTGAGTACAACACTTCTGACCAACCAGAGGCAAGCACGATACGCCTCAGGACGTCTCCAACAGATGGTGAGACAACAGACAACACTGTTTTTCTGTCAAGAAAAGGTGAAAACTCTTGTTTGATCAGATGTACTATACAAAGCATTTAGAAAAACTCATATTGGTTTAAAATTTTCAACTTCTCACATAGTCACTTGTCCCATTTTAACATGTGATGTACTTTGCTTTGTTACCATGTTAGTGAAAACATGGAAACTTCTTGTTTATACATTTTGCCATCTTTTATCAACACAATTTGTCATGTGATGGAGGCGTCATAGGTGTGTCTTTATTCATCATTCTTTGTCCCTTTTCCCTTGCTTCAAAGAGCACATTTTAAAGATGAATGATGGAAGATGAATGAGACAAAGTTCCATTTACAAATATTATTTTCAACAATTTATAATTTGTTGTACTCGGCTTGGTTTCCATTTAAACAAATGAAAAAACATGGTTGTCCATCCTTGGGGATTGACTCTGTGCTTTTGGCTTCCTCTTACACAGTCCTCGGACCACATGCGTTTATCACATCCAAGTTTATGCTACTCAAAACTTTTAAGTTATTAACAGTCTCATTTGATGTAATGTAAATTCAAACATGCCCTACTCCTGCTTATTTTCCTCAGTGTTATGTTCAATCCTCACTTACTTGCTAGAAAGCCATGCATAGCCAAGTTTTTCAGTTGGTTTAAACAGCAGGCACACTAGTGAGGGTCCTATAATAATATGCAAAGTAATGTAGCATAGCAAAATATGGGAGTTTGTTAACCTTTTTCTAGTTTGAGTAGACTTTGCCTGTCTTGAGTCAATTTTCTGGTTAGAATTTATGTTCATTTTTGCATTAATATAAAGTAATAACTAAGGCTGGGTAATTTACAACAAAATGAGGTTTAATTGGCTTATAGATCTTTAGGCTGTACAAACATGGCTTCAACATCTGCTTCTGGTGAGGGCCTCAGCAAGCTTACAATCGTGATGAAAGGCACAGGGGAAGCAGGTGGCTCCACATATGGAGAGAGGTGGTAGAGAGGGTCGGGGGAAGGTATGACACTGTTTTAAACCCCCAGAATGAGAATTTGCTTATTACCATGGGGATGGGACCAAGCCATTCATAAGGAATCTACCGCCATTACCCAAACACCTCCCACTAGACCCTGTCTCCAACATTAAGGGTCACATTTTAACATGAGATTTGGAGGGAGAACATATCCAATCCGTATCAGAATTGTATTTCCCAGTTCCTTCCAGAGCATTGGCTTCTCACACCTAGAGAGCATGGAAATGGTAAAGCTATTCCATGTCCCTCACTCTTCAGTGGCAGGAATGTCTGCCTACAAGGCCCTTCCAGCATCGAAGGCGGAGGCAGCGTAGGAACCAAAGCATGGCCCAAGCCCCTCTTGGAGCTTTTACCATTCTAGCCTTTTTTTTAGAAAGAAAAGATTGTGCTGCAGACACCATGTCCAATTAGATTTGTATATTCATTTTAAAATTTAAGATAGGCACTTTCTAGTTGTGTAAAGACCCTTTTTTGTTTGTTTTTTAGTGACATATTAGTCAATGACCACTAAGTGCAGTTCGAGATGCTTACAGGGCTCTGGTGCGTCTAGAGATGGGTGCCCAGCCCAAAGTAGTTATTAGCGCTCTTAGCTCTTAGGGTCTGGCAATTAAGGCAACCTATGTGTAAATGCAGGACGGGAGAATACTAATGGACCATGGCTCATACATGCAAGTTAAAGTCTCTAATTAGCTACATTTGTCATCTGTTTCATTTTATTGCCCTTTCTTTGTACATGAGCATTCTTTCATTTGTATGTAATAGAAAGAAAAAGTTAACTAGGTAAAAAAACAAAGATTTTAGATTTTACTTTAAGATTTATGCCAGATAATTTAAATTATAAATTGTTGAAAATAATATTTGTAAATGGAACTTTGTCTCATTCTACATAGGAATAATCAGTAAGACCATAACAACTACTTTTATGTTCTGGTATTGTATCAAAAGTGACCAGTTTTATTTTTCATAGCACAAGAAAAAGAGAAAGCAAGTGTATAAACCACATAAGTAAACAGTCAAAAAGTTAAGAAATTGATAGTTTGACGTAAAAGTACATCTCTCTTGATTGCTTTAAATTATAATGGGGACCCAATGCACGGACCTCTTACTGTGGATTTCTAAATCTCTTCTATTTCCCTAAGTATCAAATTCATACAGAAGAGTCTTTAGCTTAGTGTGTACACCTGTTAAGGATTTCTGACATTTAAGTTAACTTCAATAGTCTGGTTGTGGTAGAAGGATCTGCTTTAAGTATTTAATCTTATTTTTAGTGAAAATACAAAAACAGAATCACTAAGTTAATTATCAGCACCGTCTATTGACTTCCTTTCATAGCAAGTGAAAGCACACCTTCCGCGCTACACCAGGACCTGATTTTCTCCGTTTCTTCCAATCGTAGCCTGTTTTAATTAAATCAGGGATACACACATGGTTATCACTATGCAAATATTATTCACGAAGTCATCAGGTGTTTCCATAGTGCCGTTGCTTACATTTCCTCCATTCTTCCTCTGAAATCTGAGCACTTCTGTCCTTCTCTTGGATCTTCTCTTTCTTCCAAGCCTATGTTAGTTTATCCAGCCACACGCAGTCAGTAGCCTCTGGGTGGTCTGCTTTCACATCATTATTTTTTAGCATGAAGCTAATTTTCTGACTCTACTTGCCTGTTTTCTAACATCTGTTTCCACCTCCAAGTGCTGTAGAATTTATCACATGCTTTTCAAAGGTATTTTTCATCTGCTAAAACACATTTCCTTTTTTTGGGAGTGGGGCAACTTTCTCAGCCTTTTGTCATCCTAGTTCGAGAGTGCTTTTCTGTGCTATCTCCTTAAAGTCTTCTGTGATGACACATTAACTACCGTCTTGTGTGGGATCACCTGAGTCCTGATTCTGTGTTTCCTTCTGTCCTGTTATCCTGTCTTGTACTTGAACACATTTTCCTGGGCGGTTCACAAGCATGGACTGAGCTGCTGCTGGACTATTCTCCTTGGTGCTGAAGGAAGGCAAAGGAGAGGGGCAGAAAAAAATGAAAGAGCATTGGTTTCCTAGCTAGGGCAACCTCAACACTGTGAAATAGTCATTTGAAGAACTGGCTAATATGGAAAGGCAGCGTACCATAGAAACAGGAAGTAGATTAGGCTGCCTAGAGCCAGGGCTGCAGGGGTTCGGGAAAACAGAGGAGTCACTACTAATGGGGTTTCTTGCGGCAGAATGAAGAGCTTCTTAATTAGATTGTAACAAGGTTGCACAACCCTGAAAATATAATAAAACACTGAATCACCTATTTAAATTGGTGAATTGGTTTGCATGTCAACTACATCTAAGTAACTATTTAAAAGAAAAAGAATACGTACGGGTGGTAATACCAGCCCACAGACCACTCTGCAATAAGAGAAACGAAACACCGTGAGATTACATCATGCTGAATCCTGTTGCACAGGTCTTTTTAACATGGCGGTATCAGAAAAACAGATGGCGGGCGGGGCATGGTGCTCACACCTGTAATCCAGCACTTTGGGAGGCTAAGAAGGGCAGATAGTGAGGTCAAAGATATGAAGCACCACCCTGGCCAACATGGTGAAACCAACTAGACTAAAAACTACAAAAAGCTGGGTGTGGTGGTGGTG